TTTCACTTCTGAAAAGAGACAAATCAACTAAACAAAAAAATCAAAAAATTTCAGAGGTAAACCACACTTTTGAGCATATGAACTTAATGGATACACACATAATGAACTTCATGGATACACACAGAGTATTTCGCCACTCTACAACAGAGTATACATTCTTTTTGGCAGTATATGGTGCTTTTCCAAAATAAATCTCATACTAGCCCACAAAGGCTGCTTAAGTATATACAAAAGAATTGAAATCACCCCATGAATACTATTAGACCACTGTTGAATGAAAATGGAAATCAGTGACAGAAGAAATTTCAAAAAAGGTAAAATCACCTTCAAAATTAAGACCATATTCCTAAACAACCAGTAGTTCATCCAAGAAATTAAAGAATAAATTTTAAAATTTCTGGAAGTTAATGACAATATATAACACAGCAAATCCTTTGGAGCATTATAAAAGCTGTTTTAAGAGGCTACTCATTGTAATCAATGCTCCCATCAGGAAAATAGAGCAAGCCCAAGTAAATAACCTAATGAGAAACCATTTTGTTTTGTTTTTTGTTTGAGACCACTATGTGGTGGAGGCTGGTCCTGAACTCACTATGTAGCCAAGTGGTCTCAAACCTGTGACAATCCTCCTGCTGCAGCCTTCCAAGTGCTGGGATCACAACACCTGGTGAGAAATAGTAGCATACTTGAGAAACAACAACAAATGCACCCCAAATCAAAATTAAGGAGAAAAACTACAAAGATAAGAGTGGAAATCAATGAAACTGAGGCTAAAATTACTGTACATGTACTGAAGGGCTATTTCTTTGAACAAAATAAATAAAACAGACAAGCTCTTAGCAAGACTCACCAAGAGATAAAAACTCACAACAATCTAATTAGAAGCTAAAAAGGTAAAATAGCAAGAGATACTGTCAAAATACAGAGGATAGTAACAATTTCAAAAAAATTATATTCCAACGAGTTAAAAAAAATTTGAACAAACGGAAAGATTCCTAGACAAATACAGACCACCAAAACAAAAACAAGAAGACACAAATATGGCTATCAACCCAATAACAAGCTAATAAATTGAGTCAATAATAAAAAAAGCTACCAGTTAAAGAAAAGCTCAGAACCTGATAGATTCACTGCTGAAGTATAAAAAAAAAATCTTTAAATATGTTATGTCATCAGTAATTCTCAAGTTATTCAAGTAGTAGAAAGTGATACAGTACTCTCACATTCATTTGTGGATGATAGTGTCACCCTGATTACAAAATTGGATAAGACCAAATAATGAACATAGATGAAAAAATCCTCAAAAAATATTAGCAAATATAATGTAAAATAGTATAAAAAGATGATATGTTATGATTCATTAAGTTTTATCCCAAAGATGTAAGGATGACTAAACATATATAAATCAATAAATGTATTATATCACTTAAACAGGAGCAAAGTCAAAAACCACATGATTATATCAATAGACACAGGAACACCTTTTGACAAAGTGTAACACTCCTTCATGATAAAAATGCTTAAGAAAACAGCTATAGATGGGCCATATCTGAATATGATAAAAGCTCTCTATTAAAAACTAGTAGCGAGCATTATACTAAATGGGGAAAAGCTAAAAGCCTTTCTCCTGAAATCAGGAACAAGACAAGCAATGTCCACTGTTGTAATCAGAGTTTTCAAGGGAATAGATTTAATGCACAATACACAATTTATAGGAATATTTTATAATAATCACTCGGAAATTAAAATCAAGAAGAGTGCAGGAGATCTATCTACATGCTAGGGACTTGAAGAATCCAGCTGAAGCCCCGGATCCCATAGTAATGTCCTGCATGAATCCTGCCAATGACCTAAAGCCAACAGCAAGGGTCTATGAGTCCATGCAAAGGCCTAGAGTCCATGGAAATATCTCATGGAAGTTGGTATAAAAGATCTGCACTGGGAAGGTACAAAGGCCATTGAAGGAAACTAGAAAGTCTGCACTAGTACACTGAAGGATCTCTGCCAGAGGCAGAGGAATCTGCACTGGAACCAGGAAAGAATGCTCAAGGAGAAGGCCAGAGCTCCTGGGGAAACACCAGCAGCCATTCCCTGCAACAGCAAGGAGCAATGTGCCAAATATAATGGGAACAGCCTCATTTGTATCAGGCAAACCAGTCATGGCAAGCTTCGCCAGAATCAGCAGCATAAAATTCTCCCCTTCAGTTCTTCTTTTACACCATTGGTAACAATCCTAAGGTGGGTCTTTCATGCCCAGAACCATACTGACTCAGCTCAGCTGGATGTTCTCACTTAAATTGACCATTAGTTAATCTACCAAATCCACTGTTACCTCATATTCAACATAGTACTTGAATTTAGCTAGAGGAATTAGGAAAAATAAAATGATACACATATAGCAAAGGAAGAGCCAAATTATCATTATTTGCAAATGACATGTGATTCTACCAAAAGACTCAAAGAACTCCACCAAAAAAACCTCTTAGGATTAATAATCAATGTCAGCAAAGTAGCAGGATACAAGATCAATACCAAAAGTATTAGCATTTGTGTACACCAACAATGAATAGGATGATAAGGAAATTGTAGAAACAATACTATTCGTAGTGGGTTCAATAAAAATGTAGGATGCAGGAATTAACTTAACCAAGGATGGGAAAAATCTCTACAAAGAATATTACAGTACTCTGAATAAGGTTGATGAGGAAAACGTAAAATGGAAAAATATCCCTTGCTCCTGTGTAGGAAGAACCAATATCACCAAAATGATTGTTTTCAAAAGTATTATACAGATTTAATGCACACCCAATCAAAATATCAACAACATATTTTGCAGATCTAGAGAAAACAATTCTAAAAATCATATAAAGACAAAAGAGAACCAGAACATCAAAAGTAATTTTGGGCAAAAAGAGCAAATTAGGTGGCATAGCAATACCTAATTTCAAGTTACATTATAAAACAGTAGTGATAAAAGTTGCATGGTACTGGAAAAAGAACAAAAACATGGATCAGTGCAAGAGAACTGAGGGTACAGAAAACTAGCCAGACATATTCAACTTTTTGATCTTTGACATAGGGTCCAAAAATATGTGTTAGAGGAAAGATAGCCTATTAATCAAATAGTTTTAGGAAAACTGGTTATCTGTAAAAGAACAAAACTGGACTTCTGTCTTTCACCGTATACTCAAATAAAATAGAAATTAATCAAAGATCTTCTATCTAAAACTCTAAAACAGAAAAATTAAACCTAATGGAAGATAAAATAGGTAGAATATTTGAAGACATAGGTGGCAGAAAGCACTTTCTAAACAAAACCTCAATCACACAAGAAATAAGTGCAATAACCAACAAATGGGATTACAACTAACTTATGAGTTTCTCTACAAGAAAGAATCAATTGATAGAGTGAAGAGACAACATATAGAATAAGAAAAATTTTTGCCAGCTACTACTCAGTCAGAGGACTAATATCTGGAATATGCAAAGTCCTTAAAAAAATGAAACCACTTAAAGTTAAAGATCCAATTGGGAGATGGGCAAGAGAAATGAACAGACACTTCACAGAAGAAATACAAATTATCAACAAATACATGAAAAAATGCTCAACATCTCTGGTCATTAGAAAAATGCAAATTGAAAAAATGCTAAGATTTTTGTCTTGCTCCAGAAAGAATGACAATCATTAGGAACTTGAACAATAACAAATGCTGCCCTCACTATGGTAAGAAAGGAACTCACCTGCATTGTTGGTAGGACTGCAAACTAGTACAATTATTGTGGAAGTCATTATGGATATTTATCAAAGAAATAGCTAAATCCTAGAAACCAACTGTATACCCATCAAGAGATGACTGCATAAAGCAAATGTTGTATCTTTATGTAATGGAATACTACTCAGGGATAAAGAATGGCACATTTAAGACTTTTATAGGAAAATTATTGCACATGGAAAAGATAATGTTAAGTAAAATAATCTAGATACACAAGATTAAATACCTTATTTCACTTGAGTGAGGCAAAGTACAAAGAAAATGATAAAGGATGGATAGAAATTGAAAAGGAGGACATATCTCTTACAGTGGGGAAGTAGAATAAGGAAACAAGAGTTGGAGTGAGGAGGAAGAAAAGAGGAAATGAGAGGAATAAAGACGTATTATGTACAGGAACCTAATAACCCCAATTAATGCAAACACTGTAAGCCATAACATAAACTAAGACAAATAACATCAATAAGCACAAAAAGGGAGATAGGGCAACCAGAGAAGGAGAAGGGAGGGGAAAGGAAAGGAAAGGAAAGGAAATAGGATTTATAAAGAAGAAACAAGTTGGGGGCTGGGGATTTAGCTCAGCGGCATAAAGTGCCTGCCTTGCAAGCAGGCAGTTGTGAGTTCGATCCCTGGTATCAATAAAAAGGAAAAAGAAAAAAAAATAGTTGAATATGTATATATAACCACTCCCCGAGATGACTTGAAATATGTACTAATGTACATGACTAATAACATGACTTGAAATATGTACTAATAAACTGTCTACAGTTTCATATATTTTAATTTGATCCATAATTTAAATCATCTAGCAAATTCATATCATCATTATTGTTTCACATTGCATAATTCCACAGTCACCCTTATATTACTGCTAATGTCTTTCATCTTTTCATATGAATATTAAAAACTTTCTTTTCAGTATTCAGCAACTTTACTGTGGACTTGCCAGTAAGAAATCTACTTTTTTTATTTTCTGGTACAGTCTCTTTTTTTTTTTTGTTGTTCCTTTTCTTTTTGGTTGCCCAGGCAGAACTCCAGAATCAAGTGATCCTTCCACCTTGACTTTCCACGAGGCTGAGACTACAGGTATTCTTCACCACAACAGTCTAACTGTCCTCATTGGACTTTTATTTTTGATGAGCAATTTTATTTGGTTTAGAATTTCACAATGTCAGCTTGCAAATTTTTAAATTCCTTGAGTAACAGAGTTGCATGCAATGTAAGTCTCACCTTTATGCACTTTTTTTTTCCCCTGAGACTTCAAGAAGTTCTTGCTTTGGTAGATTTCTGCTGCATCCTGATATATCCATTTTGGTTGTTTCAAACTTTCTAGTTGTGTTTTTGAAGGCCTATAAATAGCAAGTACACATTATCATAAATGGAACTCTTCAATATCATCATAATAACTTACTTGTATTCCATTTTTAGTACCACAATTTGTTTCAATAAAATTATTTAATATCCATACAAGTTTCAGCTGTTATACTAGAATATATTATATAATGAAAGCCATTTTAGCAAAATCCTTGCAAATATAGCTCATGATTTCTAGAAGTAAAAGTGCTAGTTTTTAAGATTTGAACAACTTCAGCATCTTTGGAAATCAATGGACTCTAAGTTAGGAATTTTTTTACTTCTGAGGCTTAGAAATAACTTAGATTGACTTGGGCTTGCCCTTCTGAATGTGTCCCCAAACATAATATCTGCATCAGACTTCCCAGAATTGGAAACAGATACAAGGCAGAAGCAGGATTGCTTCTCCATTTGTTGACACTTTGTGGCTGTAGCCACTTATTTTCCCTTCCAAGCAAGTCTAAAGAAATTCTACTCCCAGATTTTTGTGGATGCATTAAAAAGATCATGTATTGGCAAATGTTTGCAAGAAAACACAAACATATCAACAGACAACAGTGATAATCTCTTTCCATTTTGTTTCCCTCTTCCTTCTTCCCCACCCATCTCCCTGCTCTCTCCTTCACTCTCCTGCCTGTCTATAGGTCTCTTTTACTTCTAAAACCAATCTTTGAATGCCAGTCTTCCCAGCTCATGGCTACCGTGCTGCTTTCAATTGGAATGCTTTTCCCATCTTTGTCCTTTCAATAAATACCCACTGATCTTTCAAACAAGTCTTTTATGAAATCTTTTCCTGATGAATAGGTAGAGCTGGCCTTGCCCTCCACTGTACTCTGTAAAACCTTCTACAAAATTTTGCATCACTTTATTTTTGTCTGACTTCCCCTTTTACATCACCAGCTCCTAGAGGACAAAGAAATGAATCCTGCAAATTCTGGACTGATCAGTGCTTAATGAATGAATGAATTAAAGGGTCAGTATGGAATCTGCTCAAAAGTGCTACAGAGTAAAAAGGAGTAGCTAGCAATCTTCTATATTCAGTATGTCAAATGACCTTCACAAAAGCTATATTAGATAGGCAGGTAAGTGATGAGCACTAGAATTAACCAGACCTTTGAGTTTTACTGCCTTTCCCCTAGGCAAGTTTTAATCCTCTGCACTGCTGAGAGTTTGGTGCAGCAATAGTGAGATTTTCCAGCTTGTTCCAATTCCTGCCTAGGATTAAATCCCAGGCACTAAGGCTCTCTAGAGAAGTGTCCTTTCTAGTGCACAACATTAAAAAAAGAGTTACTAGAAACCTAAATCCAGAAAATGACAGAGGAGATTGGCACAAGGATGAGGGTTACGCCATTCCAAAGACCGTGAACGTTTTCTTTTGAAAAGTTTTGGGGAAATGGCAAATATCAAGATACTAGTTACCAATTTTAAGAATCTGTTGAGTGCCTGGAACTATGTGTAAAAGCCTTTTACTCATATTGTAACACGAAGTAGCTATTATTACTTTCGCTTTTATTCCCTACCTATCCGCTCCACGCTCCTTGATGCACCTTACCAAAGCCTCCCTTCCGCCAGTATGTTTCTTGCTTTGGTGCGGAAACAAGATATCCACTTTCTCAGACTCAGGGGAGGGGCTGGACAGGGCGTGGTCTCCTTGTCGCAGAGTCTGACTGCGCCTGCGCGGACTGCGGCAGAAGCAGGGGTGTGAGAAGCTGCGAATATTGAGACTAGCGTTCGCAGTTTGGCGGTACCTTCTTTCTTTTGCATCATTTCTAATTTCAGCTTCAGTAAGTTGCTTGGAACTTTGTGGCAGCAGCAGCAGCGGCAGCCTTACTGCTAAGGGCAGTTTCGTGTTGAGGCACCTACATACCTTCTACCCTCTTTCTACTAGATCGCGGGCCTTTCGGTTTCTGCTCCAGGACCTTGTCGCTGGTAAGCCAGAATTCGCGCCGCCTCAGCAGTGCAAAAGCCACTGAGCACTACAGCAGCAGCTGGGGTGAAATGCAGGCCCCTAAGGCCTCGGGTCTCCTCGCTGCTATGTTAGATCCAGATGCCCCGGAGGGTTCCAGCGATCCCCAGATCCTCCAGGGGCTCTGCGTGCCTGAGGGCCCAGGCACCTCCATTCTATCCACCCTTGGAGAGGGCCCCCGCACCGCTGTGCCGCCCGCTGCCTCTAAGGGCTCAAGAGCCTCTGGATCTCCTACAGTCTCTGAGGGGTCAAACATCGCCCTGTCGGTCGCCGCCTCTGAGCTCCCAAACAACCCTCTGCCGCCCACTGCCCCTGAAGGCGCAAGCGCCTCCAAGCACCCCTCTGTCACTGAGGGACTGAACACCTCCGAGTTGCCCCTCTCTAATGAGGGTCCGAGCATCTCCGTGCCGCCCACCTTCAGTGAGGGCCTGAGCACTTACTTGCCACCCAGCTCCGGTGAAGATCGGAGCGCCTCCTTGCCGCCCACCACCTCTGAGGGACTGAGCATCTCCGTGCCGCTCACTTCCGGCGAGGAATTCAGCACTACCGTGCTGCTTACTGTCTCTGAGGGACCGGGCATCAACGTGGCATTCTTTTCTGGGGAGGGCCCCAGAACCTCTGTACCACCCACTGTCTCAGAGGAATCAAGCCCCTCTAGGCCTCCCACCCCCGATAAGGGCCTGAGCACCTCGGAGTTATCAGCTGTCTCTGAGAGACCTAGCACCTCTATGCTGCCGCTTTCTGATGAAGGCCCTAGCATCTTCATACCGCCTAGCCCCATTGAGGGTCAGAGCACCTCTTTTGCACTCCCAGCCTTTGAGGAACAGGTTGCCACTCTACCGCCCCCTTCTGGTAACAACTCCAGCATCTCGGTGCTCCACATCTCTGGGGAGGGCTCAAGCACTTCCCAAATGGCCAATGCTACTGAGGGCTTTGGCACATCTGGGATGCCCACTGCCTCTGAGAATCTTGGTGCACTGTTGAGCTCCAATGCGTGTGGAAGCCAGAACTCTTCCAATTACTCAGTTGCTTTACCAAACCTTGGCATGGCCAAGGCTCCTGCAGACTCTAAAGGTCCCAAGGGTGCAGATGGCCCCGTAGAATTCCAGGTTCTAAGAGAACATAAGAACTCTAACTCCATTACCGTTATGGGGCTCGGCACTTCCCAGGTTGCACTTACTCTAAAGCCCCAGGACCCTATGGAACGAAATGTAGCTGAATTGTTGCAGTTTCTGCTGGTGAAGGATCAGAGCAAGTACCCTATACGGGAATCTGAAATGCGGCTACATATTGTTAAAGAGTATCGCAACCAGTTTCCTGAGATTCTCAGGCGAGCAGCAGCCCACTTAGAGTGTATTTTTAGGTTTGAGTTGAGGGAGCTCGACCCTGAGGAGCATACCTACATTCTGCTCAACAAATTGGGACCTGTGCCCTTTGAAGGGTTAGAAGACACCCCAAATGGGCCAAAGATGGGCCTTCTGATGATGATCCTAGGAGAAATATTTTTGAATGGCAACCAAGCTAAGGAGGCTGAGATTTGGGAAATGCTCTGGAGGATGGGAATTCAGCGAGAAAGGAGGCTTTCTATTTTTGGGAACCCCAAAAGACTTTTGTCTGTAGAGTTTGTATGGCAGCGTTACTTGGACTATAGGCCAATAACTGACTGCACACCAGTGGAGTATGAGTTTTTCTGGGGCCCACGATCCCACCTTGAAACCACCAAGATGAAAATTCTGAAGTTCATGGCAAAAATCTATAACAAAGATCCTATGGACTGGCCAGAACAATACAATGAGGCTCTAGAGGAAGATGCTATCAGAGCTGCTGCTGATGATTGGCAGGCTGTCCCTCACTTTAGGAGGCCCTTTTTTGAAGAAATTCCTGCAGATTTATTATCTCCTGATTTAGAGGTTTCTGGATATCCCTCAAAATATCCCCCACACTCATGGCCTGAATCAAGAATGGAGAGCAAAGCAAGGAAGCTGGTACAGTTATTTCTGCTTATGGATTCAACTAAGCTGCCTATACCAAAGAAAGGAATTCTGTACTATATTGGCCGAGAGTGCAGCAAAGTGTTCCCTGATCTCCTGAATCGTGCTGCTCGTACCTTGAACCACGTGTATGGGACAGAACTAGTGGTACTTGATCCCAGAAACCACTCTTACACCCTGTACAATCGAAGGGAAATGGAAGATGCAGAAGAGATTGTAGACAGTCCAAATAGGCCAGGCAACAACTTTTTGATGCAAGTTCTAAGCTTCATCTTTATAATGGGAAATCATGCTAGGGAGTCTGCAGTGTGGGCCTTTCTGCGGGGGTTAGGGGTTCAAACTGGGAGAAAGCATGTGATTACTTGTAGATATTTGAGTCAGCGTTACATAGACAGCTTACGAGTTCCTGACAGTGATCCAGTGCAATATGAGTTTGTATGGGGGCCTAGAGCCCGCTTGGAAACCTCCAAAATGAAAGCTTTGAGATATGTGGCCAGAATTCATAGAAAGGAACCACAGGACTGGCCAGAGCAGTACAGGGAGGCAATGGAGGATGAGGCCAATAGAGTTGATGCAGGGCACAGACAATTCCTTATACACAATATCAGATAAGGGAATTTGTGGCTGTAAAAGAGGCTTTGATAGGCTGGGCCCTAGAGCTCTGAGTCTTATGTATTGGGATGGGTGGTATGTATTGTGTTCAATATTTGTGTTCCAGTTCCATTTTTGTCTTTTCATATTTAGTTTTTGTTTAGTACCATGAAAAGCTATAATTGTTTTATATACTATCTAGTAAAGAAAATGTAACTGACCAATTGTTGTCTCTGTTGTATTTTGGTATAAGAGTTTCAATAGTGTTGAAATATGCTTTGGGAATCTTCCCACTTTGTTGCATTATCTGGAAAAGAATATATAGCTATAGATGTAGGCTTTTCCCCAAAAGCTTGAAAAAATTCACCAATATAGTGATCTAGCTTCACAGATGTGAAACAAACAAAAAACATAACAACTGAAAAAAGCACTCTAAATTGTGGCTGGCCTTCCTTTCAGTCTTCTACTATGTAAAGTATACCAATGTTTACCTGTATTTGCTTTGCTGTAATAAAATATAAAGGAAAATAAAAGTATTATAAACATAAGGCTGATGCATTAATTTATTCAACATTTATTAAATTTTAATTTGCTAACTTATTCAAAACTATTTATTAAATTTCTATCATAAAAGGAACACAAGTGGTATATTCTGATACACAAACATGCAGACATAGACACACACACACACACACACACACACACACACATATATATATATATATATATATATATATATATATATATATGAAAGTTCTATGGGAGTTAAGAGGAGGCACTCCTAGCTTAATTCCTGGGGTGTTCACATTGGTCCTGAGAGAAAAATAATGAGTATGGAGAGAGAAGATGGATCTTTGTTGTACTCATGAGTTAAAGTTAAACTCAATCATCAAGAATGCTAGTAGAAAATGAAATCAAATATGTCATGATTAAGGGTGAGGAAGTTTCACATATGGTAAAGTTTCTATTAAAATACAAGAATGAGCTTTCTCTAAGTCACACTGTGGTGTGCTAAATCTCCTAAGGTTTTTGATTAATTTTACACACTTTTCATGATTTTCGTATTATTTATGTTGTTTCAATTCCAATAACCAACCTAAAATAGTAGTGGTTATACAGAAAATCTGTTCTTGTGGGGGTTAAAAGAATCATAGTGAAACCATATGTCAGTTCCTAATGTTTCTGTTCAGACATACAGTATTTCCAATGGCAAAGTCAAGTCTCATGCCCAGTGTACTCTTAATGGCATGGGAGTTGTGCTTCTCCCACAGGGAGGGACATGTAGAGATTGAGCCTAGTAAAAGAACAAAATGTACTTTGAACAAAAACTCTGTCTACCATGTAATAATTTCACTTTGCTGTGAGGTGAGAAACTACTGAAAATTTTTAATCAGAGGAATAGAAGGATATGACTAAATTTTGACAAGATTACTTTGGTTCTTGTATTGAAAAGCTAAGGAAGGGCAAGGAGGACAATAGCCCTAATTTTGGCATAGCAATTCCTTCTTAACCTTCTTGTGAAAAGAGGTCATTGTTTAAAAGAAATTGAATAGAAATGAATCACAGTCTGATAGGCTGGTTACCTTTTTAAAAAACACATCAAAAGTCAAACTCTATTGAGGTTAAAAGGCTTTATATCCTAGTGGTTAACAGTATGTGATGTAAATTTATAGTAACTGTGTTTAAAGCTTGGCTTTCTCTGATACTTACCAGACGCAAAACTTTGGGCTAGTTATTTAACTCTTTTGTGCCTCCATATCTTTATATGTAAATGAACATAATAATTTTATCCTCTCTATAATGTTGTGTAGAGTCAGTGTGTTAAATTTTAAATCATAACAATATTTGACATATAGTTAGCAGTTTACAGCTTATGTTGATCAATAATTTTTCTAGGAATGGGGACAAAAGATAAAGATTTATCTGAAAAATTTTATTGGGGAGCAGGTTTGGTTTCAACATCTATGGGGAAACGAAGCAGAAATGTGTACAGGGAAATGCTGTAAATCAGTGTCATCACAACAAATAATTTAGTCAGTCTCACAGGGCAGTCAGATTAATGTGGTCTTTCACAGCTGTCTGAAATTAGGAAAAGGGGGCCAAATTTTTATACCTCTATACTGACCAGTCACTAAATACAGATTGCCTCTTGGAAAGGGTATATGACTTTGGGAAAGTCAGTTCTTTTCAGCCACAATAATCCATTGGAAAGACACTCAGCTATAAACAGAACAATTGGCAAAATCCTCAAGTGCTAGAGGAATGAACACTTCCATCTTGAAGAGTAAGGGCATCTGGATGGTACTTCCCAATATTCACCATGATCATTGCTTTTTTCCTCTTCACTTCATCATATGTAGTTTTTCTTACTATTATTGCCACAATTACTGTTTGCTGATATGGTCATATAAAAACATGAAATATCTTCTCATAATTCTGCCTGGGATGTAACACCCACATCACTGAATCATTTTACTTTTGGCATATACTTTCTGAAAGAAAATTTCTTTTGCCTCACAAGATACGTGTCAGTTTTCTATTTTCCATGTTTCTAGGAGATTTGTGTCTTTGTTAATGTGTTCCCAGAATGTTACCTAAGCAAGCCTATTAATAGATTGTTTCCCATTTAAATCTCAAGAACTATTTGGTTTTAGATAATTCTGATTAACATGCACATTCACAATACTCAACTAAAGACAATCAAGGTAGAAAATATAGTCTATGATGTACTTCTTTCAAAAATAATAATTTTGGAAACACAAAATGTCTGAATAAATATGTATGATATAAGAAGAAAAATTATATTGAAATTGCTATAAATATAAGATTTATTTTATTAGAGGTTTAATGAGTAATGTGCTTGCAAGTTGAAACTGTGGGTTTGTATAATATTTTCAACAATTTACAGTCTTATAAGTGCTAGTTATCTTTCTGTTACTATAACAAAATATCTGAAATACTCAACTTAGAGGAGGAAACATTTCCTTCAACTCCCATTTTTGGAGGTTCCAGTTTATGTTCAGTTGGCCTGTTGTCTGTGGTTTTGTGATGAAGCAAAAACATTATAGCGGAAACTCTTAATGGCAAAGTGTGTTCACTTCATGGCCAGGACGAAAAAGAGAAGGAAAGAGATGAGTCTCCTAAAATCTTCTTCATGAGTATATCATTAGTGACATAAAACCTCCCACAAGATCCCAACTTTTAAAGGTTCCATCACCATGCAAAAGCACCATGGTCCAAGAGACTTTGCAGATTCAAACTATCCATCATGATTATTTTCTGCTTTGTAACTGTGTGTAAACTCCAATAAAGACACACAACTGTGATTCTATGTAAAAATAATGGGTTTAATTTATTTGCAATTTGAGTCTAACTCTTAGAAATATTAACTGTCAGCTCATTTAACACAAAATTACATTTACTGCTTATGATTCATAAAGAAATGGGTCATATAAGACAGTGAAAATATTATTCACTAATACTATTCAACTCAGTGAAAATGACAAATAATTGAAATTATCCCCCACACTCTGGGTAAGCACCCCTGGTGTGGGCCCAGGAGGAGAACCAGCACTCCTGAGATCCAGCCATGGTGGGACTTAGGCAGTTTATTTGCCCAACTTCTTGGTAAATGCCCCTGGCTTGGGCCAGAAGGAGAACCAGTGGCTCCCATGAGCCTACTGGCATGTGGGTTAGGAATCAAACCCTCCCCACCCCCGTAGCTACTTGGGATAGATGTCTCAGCATCTCTTGGGAGGATGACCATATGCAATTTAGCAAATATGGGGGATTTCCTTCTATTTTCTGTTTGAAAGCAAAGGTTGTTTTCACTGTTTTGTTTTGTTATGTTCTTTTGCTCTATTCAATACTCTCAATTGGTTTTATAATGTTCTGTTTTTGGTTTGATTTTGCTATACCTAATTGACTGCACAACTATTGTAAAGACAATGATGTATACCATAGTACTTATTACTACCATCCCAGTATCCTACAGTGAAGTTCTGTACTAATTCCACTGCATTGTTTTGATTGGCTTTGTTCTCTTTGCTCTGTTGTTCTTTTACTACTTTCAAAATAAATTTTTTTAAAAAAGGAAATTATCCTTAAAATATGTGGTCAGTTATTCTAAATAAAGTAATCTAAAAACAATGTGAAATGAATAAGTATTTCTTGCTATTTACATTACTGTCTTGCAGGAAACATTCCAGATGAAGCAGTTAATTTTAAAAAAACACCTGGGTGTGTGGTTTAGTGATGGAATTCTTGCCTACCGTGTACAGGGCCCTGGGTTCAATCCCTATGACTACACAAAAAATTACTAATAAAGGTATTGTCACTTAAGGCAATAGTCAGTAGGCCCTGAAGATCAGAATTCACCCACATTAGACAATGTAAACTTCTGTTTCCAACAATTTATTTTTAAAATAAAGAAGATTTATTTCCCTTTTTACTTGGTTTATACATTTCTGTTCAAATACATCTATTTGAATTAGGGCACAAGTTGGAAAAGTCTGTGTATTCAGCAGAGGATCACTCTCATAATCACATGAAAGTGTACTGTGTTGTTGACATGTGTCTCAGTCATTTTGAATCAAAATAATGATCATTGCCCTGTACAATAAAACTTTTGCAAAAACCAATAATCCACTTGACTAACTGTAGTGCTTATCTATAATGGAACACAAAGTTTCTGAGCTTCCAAGAAGAGACTTATTCTTTTTCCAAAAAGCAGAATTATGGATGGAACTCTGCTTGTTTTCTTCATAGCTATTCAGTCTAGGTGATGAATGGTTGTGTATTATTTCCATTTTATCCATGAAGTAACATGACCACTTACTCCACTCTAAATAACAGCTAAATTTCCAGGTTATATCACAATTATTTTTTTTGAATGATGACTCATCAAAATTGGTCAAAATTATTATTTCCCTCAAACTAAATTTGGTATACAGTTTTAAAAACTGATGTATAGAAGAAAAAGTATAATTATAAGAATTACATGTCATTGTTAGTTTGATTAAATAGAAAGTGCCAAACAGTCATGTTGAGATAAATGAGATTCCTTTAGCTGAGTGAAATAAATTACTACATTGGAATATTTCAAAGATTAATGATGGTATAAGTCAAATAAACAAATGGCAGTCATTAATTTAGAAAAAATATGGAAGTAAATGAAATACATAGGTCGCAGATAATCTATTAAACATTTCAAACTAAAAAGATAACAAGAAAAAAATAATAAGTAAGTCTATAAGAGATGTAAATCGGATAGCACTAAATATTTTATCAGAGCATTTGCTAAAACTGAAAAACAAGTAGTGCTTCTTTGCTCTGTGTTGGGGAATTGTTCTCACTGGCATTCAATATTTTACTAAATTACCCTTTACTGTATGCAAATACAGAGGATTAAACATTTTAGTAAATATTAGTCTTCTTGAAATAATTACATAGTTGATATCTACATTTTATCTAGTACTATGTATGTTCAAACTCAGTAAACCCTGAATTTCTGTCACCAATCAGCTGTAACTGCTCTTCTGAGCATGCA